ACTGGTTTCCCAAGTGGGAGGGAGGCAGCATTTTTCCTGTACCCAAGCCCATGGCATTGACCCCATGTCACTAAGCCTTTTCTGGGAAGGTCCTTAAAGATTCCCAGAGGTCAGGAAACTTACCCTTCTCCTTGCTCCCCACTCTGGGGACAGAGCTAAATCCGTCCGGCCAACGCGACGGCCAGCCAGCCTGTCCCGGGCTTCTGTGGCCGGTGAGCAGCCCCAGGGCCGGGGTTGGGACCTGGGCTTCAGCGCGTGTGACGGACCAGCGGCTGCTTCTCCATGGAACAGTGGGGGTACCCGCCTAATGAAGTCAATGAAGCTGGCTTGCGATAGCACAGGTCACGTGCCCAGGGCAGAAGATGGGGTGTCCGCTCGGACTCCCCCCGCCCTGCATGAACTGATGGACGGATTGCGGTGTTGACCTGCGGACTCGCTGTCTTCCCGGTGTCTGCGCCCTTGGCTCCCCGACCCTCAGCATGTTGTCATGTCCATTTCTCGATCTTGGCTTTGGGTCTTCGGTTCGACCCCTGGCTCTGAGCCTCAGGGCTGGGCGGCGCCTCCCTTTGATCGGCGGCTCCTCTGCGTCAAGTGCTGAGGGTGCTTTGGACTGTCCTACACTCTTGATCCAGGTTTAGCTTGTAGACCCCCTGATAACGGAAAACGACACGTCTTGGTCACATAGACCCCGAGTTAAAATCCCGCCTCTTAACCGGCTGTGTGATTCAGGTAAGTGGCTGGCTCTCCGGGCAGAGGACCCGTTTGTCTCCTCGCCAGTCGAGGGACCGGGCGATTAAGACGGTGACATGTAAGTGACCCCGTGAAGCCCCTAGCGGGGGGCTAGAGATACAATCAATGTATATTTAGGAGTAACTTTTTTCTTATTGTTTTATTTAAGTATCGATGGTATACAATGTTATATTAGTTTCCAGGGTACAGTATAGTGATTTGATATTTTTATACCTTGCGATGTGATCAGCCCTCTAATTCTAGTTGTCTGTCACCATGCCCACTAACCACAACACAACTGACAATGAATCCTTCCTTCCTCCTTCCGAGGTCACCACTGGGGCTGCTCTGCTCCCTGCCCCGTGACCGCCCTCCCCCGTGTCTGTTAGCGAGACACGCTGGGTGGCAAACGGGTGCATTGAAGTGCTACTTCATGGGGGACGGGCCCCTTCTGGGCTGAAGTGCACCTTGTCAGTTCGGTGGTGGGGGCGGGGGAGGAAGGCCCAGGCGGAAGGGGGTGGGGGCCAGGCCTGACCGCCCTGTGCCCACAGCCGCCTCGGCGAGGGGCGTGAGCCGGACTCTCCTTCCTAGTGGGCAGCGTGCACACGGGGGCGAGGCAGGTGTACACAGTCACTCCCCTTTAATGCCATTGGCTCCCAGGGATCTGCGACGCGCCCTTGCCACTGCCGTTCGGGAACCTGGGGTTCCCGCTGGAGCCGAGCCCCGAGCGCCTGGAGCTGGGCAGGAGCTTCCTCCGCTCACCGCTGAGGGCGGAGCTGGACTCTGCGCCTTTGCCTCCTTCACGCCCTGCGTTCGGGGGCGGCGGAGGGAGGGACACCTGGAGGTTAGGCTGGACGTCCTGATGGGTGGCGGAAGTGTCTCCCACACACGCCCAGCACCTAAAGCTCCCGGAGGGGCAGAGCGACGTCTGTGGCCTGGAGGAAGCCCCGGTGCGAACTCCCGTGAGCTGTCGTGTGTGCCGTCTGCCTTCCCCGAGTGCCCTCTGACCTCTGCCCTTCCACACGGAGGGAGAGGAACTGGGAGTGAGGGGCCGATCAGTCACCCCCACGGAGCTGTCGTGGGTCACCCACTCCTATGGGCCCGTTTTCTTCTCTGTAAACTGGGAAGCATAACACCCACTGACCGGGCTGCTTGGGGTGGACTAAACCCTCCACTGCTCAGGATCTGTGGCACAGGACAGCACCCCGAGGCAGGGGCCGGCGCCTGAGGGAGGTGTGTGCACGTTAGGGCAGCACCGTCCAGTCCCCCAGCTCTGCAGGGACCCACTCAGGTCCTCCTGTGAACCTGTGCCGGCCGGTCTGGCTCAGCAAGTCCAAAACCAGGGGGTTCCCCTGCCGCCTCCTTCTCCCCTTCAGTTCCTGCCTGGGAGTCCAGACGGGGGCCGGGGCGGGGCCGGGGCAGCAGGATGGAGGCGGGAAGGCACGTCCACCCCATCGACGGCCCTGCAGGGACTCCGGGGCGCCGTCACTCCGGGCTGGGTGGTGATTCCAACACCCTTCTTTACAGAAACGCCTTCCTCCAGCTAACCCTGTATGAATAGCAACACATCTGTTTCCAAGCAGGGACAGATGGAGGGTACAGGGGAGAAGACCACCTTCCAGCGCAGTCGGAGCGCCCCCTTCAGCGAACAGAAAGGCAGGGAGGGTCTTTCCCGGCGAGTGTGGAGCTCCCACTCGGTCCTTCCCACGGTTAACACGGTCACGAGAAGGAAGTGCCTTGGAAGACGGAGCAGGGACAGAAAGACACACCCACCAAGGACTGCTGGTGGCGTCTGCAGCCAGGAAGCCAATGACAATAAACAAACATCGGACCCTGTGAGAGCAAGTGGTGGACGTGGATGGTGTGTGTTTGAAGATCGGTGACGAGTCCTTTTTAAATCCCACAGTCAAATGAGAAAAACGGATCCTCACACATTTGTTTTTACATTCATGGCATCCGTTCAGTTTGTCATGAATGAAACAGACCGATTTGGGAATGCCTCTTTGAGGACTCGGCTCCGGAAATAACCGTGGGACCTCCCGTTGGAGACACGTGACGTGCCCCGAAGGTGGCGGGCAGGCACAGTGGCCTGCGGTGGTCGCCTCCGCTGCCCCCCAGGACTCGCCTGGATGTGTGATCACCGGCTGTCTAACTGTCACTTGGATGAAGGACCAGGGAGGGAATCCCAGGGGAGGGAAGACAGTACCGTGCTGTTTTGTGTTCTATCAACGGAAACCAAACCCGTGAGCACAGATGAGGAAAAATAAGCTGAAGTATTTTATTGGAGGAGACGAAGTTAAAAGAGATGTTAACCCCAAAACTGGCCTGGCTAAAGGGAGCTGATGCACCGGACGTCCTGGCGCGTGCCCCGCCTCCGGAGGAGAGAAAGGGGTCTTTCCTTCATTAGGCTCAATACCCGCGTGCGCGCCGATGCTGGTCCGTGGTGGGTGGTCCAAAGGCCGTCCCCTCCCTGCGAAGGGCCCAGGGCCTCAGGTCACCACCCTCACCTCCCGACCCGAGCGGGAGCTTGTGAGGTGGTTCACTGCTTTCTGCAGATACGTGAAGACAAGAATTCCTGCGGGAACCCCCACAGTGCGCCCAGGCACCCCAATCCCCTGCGTCACCACATGGCAGCCCCTTGGCAGTGCCAACAGGGCAGCAGCTTTCCTGACCCTCGGGTCCGCCCTTGTGCCGAAACTGACCAGAGCTAATGGGCACTGGAGGATGGGGTGCCACCCTGAAGCAGGGCCAGGGCACCAGCACCGGGTGGCTGGGACCCTGCAGTGAGCGGAGGGCAGAGTTCCCCACGGGCAGGGAGGTCTGACTGGGACCAGTCCCCCTCTCCCCTGGCCTGGGCTCTCCCCCCGACAAAGGGCACTGTGGGGGACAGAGGGCAGCTGTGGGGTCGGAGGGCAGGTGTGGGGGACAGAGGGCCGGTGTGGGGGGACAGAGGGCAGGTGCGGGGGGACAGAGGGCAGGTGCGGGGGGACAGGGCAGGTGCGGGGGACAGAGGGCAGGTGCGGGGCGACAGAGGGCAGGTGCAGGGGGACAGAGGGCAGATGCGGGGGACAGGGCAGGTGCGGGGGGACAGAGGGCAGGTGCGGGGGACAGGGCAGGTGCGGGGGGACAGAGGGCAGGTGTGGGGGGACAGAGGGCAGGTGTGGGGGACAGAGGGCAGGTGCGGGGGACAGAGGGCAGCTGTGGGGGACAGAGGGCAGTTGTGGGGGACAAAGGGCAGCTAGGGGGGCAGATGCTTGGAGCTCTGGTCCTGGCCTTTCTGCTGCCGCTCGCTGGCTTAGGCACTTGAAAGTCTTTTATGTTTACAAATGGGAAGGGAAGTGGCGGTCCCTTTGCCTTTCCGAGTGAGTCAGGAAGGAATTCGGTAAGGAAATAAACCCTTCAGCCAGCCTCCCTGCACTTTCTGCCCCCCGCTGATTTGCCCAGCTGGTACCTGCTCGCTCCCCTCTTCCTCCAGCCTGGGGTTGGCGTGACAGTCCCTGGCGGGGGGTGGCATCAGGAACAGCCTTGACTCTGTCCCCGCTTCATCAATCATGTTTCAAGCTAGTCCTTTCTCCTCTCACTACCCCCTTAAATCCACCCCGACCCCCGGGGAGCCCGCCTCCTAACTCAGTCTACCTCCTTCTGTTTCAAATGTCACACAGGTTTCTCAGGACACACCTCATCCTGCACACGGGTCTCTGTCGCATCTGGACGCACGTGCCCAGCTCACAGGGGCTCTGTTACCACCCACCACTCCCACACATCTGGGCCTAACGAGGCCAAGCGGGGAGACAGCTGTTAGAGAAGGAAGGACATGTCATACCTCTGGAATGCCGCCTCTGCTTTACACGTGGGTGGACTGTGTGGCTACTACTAAAAAATCAGATTTTAACAAACTGTTACAGAAACAGAATGTGACACATGTCATGTAGCTCGCTCGCTTCCTTCTGCCATGTTAGGTTACGCTCAGCCACGGCAATACACCTTTCCTTCATCCGAACTTTGTCCCTCCATCAGGTCAGGTCAGTGCTACTTAAAATATAGAAATCCTGTTCATTAAAGTATCTGCATCAAAATAGCTATTTCTTCCCCTAAAAAAAGAATTCCACGCTTTTCAGGGCCTAGCTTTTCAGCTGTAGCTGATTTATTTTGGTGGTTGGTCTTAGGGGTGTGCCAACTGCCGCCACACGGCCACTAGCATGGACTAGAAACGATACGTTATTGCAAGTGTTCTAAAAATCAGAACAAAACTAATTTATTATAGTTCCGTCTTCATTATACACCACGTGTTGCTGAGTGAAACACAATGAAATTATTGTCTTTTAAAAGTGGCTACTAAAGATAAAAAGAAGAAGGTAACAAGGAACATGTCGTTTGTTACATTAAAAAAATCGGGTAGACGTGTCAAAATCTATTGCCGGTTAGCTTGTTCTAAGCCTCTATTACAAAAAAGGAAAGTCATTGTTCAAAGGCAAACATTCAGTTCAGCTGATACAACGTTACAGTACAATCAACTAACATCATTCCACGCAGGGCACGAGTCTAGACTTAGCTGCTTGAGTTGAAAGCCCGGAGACCAGATGCCGCAGGAGGTTCCACGCCGCGCGCGGCCGCACAGCAGCTCGTTGGAGGACACGGTGCTTCCCGCCGAGGGCTGCAGACCGAGGTCACGCTACTGGGCAAAGCACAGGGCGACCCCACCCTGTGATTCATCACTTTATTGAGCATGGTGGTTAGAACAGCAGTACTGAGTTTAGCATAACAACGAAAACAAAATATAATAATAATATAATAATCGTAATAATGATAAAAATAAAAACCAAACGCACGCCGGCAGCCCACAGCCCGCCGAGCTCTAGCGATACGCTGCGCTGGAAAATGGGAAATCTCCCGCCACGTGCTCTCCACGCTGCCACATCCTAGGAAAGTCAAAAATACAAAAGTCTTCCACCGGTTACTTTTGCAGAATAAAGCAAAAACGTCTTTGTGCTCCCTACTACCAGAAGCGAGATCGCCGCCGGGTCACCACATGTAGTAACTCCTGGACGTGTCCACCTGGCTCGGCTTGGTCTCCGCGGAGCTGTCTTTGTCCTTCTCGCTGTCTCCTTCCCAGAGGTTGATGAGCGGCGGGTACAGCTCGTTGAGCGGGATCGAAGACGTCTTTTGCATGTACTTTTTTAATGAGTGGTGGTAATTCTTCCTCTTGAACCTCCTGGCGACGTACGCAGCGGTGGACGCGAGGCTGACGACGGCGAACGCGGAGCCCAGCACGGCGGCCAGGGCCGCGCTGGCTTCCCGGTCGGACGCGTCCAGGGCGAAGGCAGCGGTTTTGGTGGTGACGTTCACGCAGGACTTCTGAGTCTGCTGGTGGACGCTGGACACTGTGAGACACACTTCATAGTCCGTGGAAGGCTGCAGGTGCGTGAGGTTGTACTCATGGACGTCCACCGGCACCCTGGCCGAGTATGTGGTGTGCGGGTTGTCCACCTTCATGGTGGCCGATGACCACTTCAAGTTTGACGTCATGACGTTGGAGTTAACTTTCCAGGACACCAAAATGGAATGAGACTCTGTCTGTTTCACATATATTTTCAGCACCTGGGTCCCGTCCAGAAGGGTCCCATTAACCTTAACGGTCACCACGCCGGTGTCGGCCCCTTCGACATTCTGCGCCACACACGTGTATCTCCCCGAGTCTTCAGTTCGAATGTCAGCGATTTCCAGGGTGCCTTCACTACTCAGCCGGTATCTGTCCGAAAGCGTTCCCACGCTCACCTTATTCCCGAGGGGAGTGACCCAGTAGATTTCGGGCTCGGGCTCAGCCATGGCCCGGCAGTCCAGGAGAACCGTGGCGCCGGCCTCCACGTTCACGTGGCTGGGGAAGGCGTCGCGGGCGATCATGGGGAGGCACTGCTCGCTGGAGCCCTGCGTGAGCACCCCCTTCACCTGCTGCCCGCGGTACTCGGGCGGCGTGGCGCAGCACATGGACAGCGGCTCCATGAAGCGGATGTTGGTCGCGTTGGAGGTCACCCAGTGGATGACGCAGTCGCAGCGCAGAGGGTTGCTGTGGATGCTGATCTCGCGCAGGTTGGGCAGGGACTCCACCGTCTTCCGGTACACCGCGTTCAGAGCGTTGTTGTTCAGCATCAAGCTCTCCAGGGCAGGCACGCTCCGGAACGCCAGGCGGTGGATGTAGCACAGCTTGGGGTTGTTGGTGGCTTCCAGTTTGGTGAGTTCGGGCAAGTTGTCGAGCGCATAGCGGTCCACGGAGACCAGCTCCCCCATGTTGTTGAGCCCCAGTTCCTTCAGCCGGAGCATGTTCCTGAAGTCCCCCTCCCGGATTTTGTGAATAGGGTTCTTGTTGAGGTCTAAGAATTTCAAGTTTGGAACTTTCTGCAGGGCAAGCTGGGGGACCTTGACCAGTCTGTTATCATAGAAAGACAGGCTCTCGAGACTGTCTAAGCCCACCAAGGCGTTCCCAGGGACGTCCGTGAGATACATTCCCGCCAGGACCAAGCTCCTCAGGTTCGAGAGGGGCTTGAAGTTCATGTCCAGAATCCCGATCACGGGGTTCTCCCCGATCATGAGGATCTCCAGGTTGGGCGTCGAATCAAACCAGCGGCTGTCGATCACTTTCAGGCTGTTGGAGTTCAGGTGCAGCCTGAGGAGGTTTTTTAAGCCCGAGAAAGCCCGGGCCGAGATGGTGCTGATCTGGTTGTGGTTGATGTAGAGCTCCTGCAGGCTGCTGAGGTCCTGCAGGCAGTAGTCGGTCATCTCGGCGATCTGGTTCTCCTCCAGGTGCAGGGTGGTGAGCTGGGTCAGGTTGGCCAGCCCCACCTCCCTGATGTTGGTGAAGTTGTTCTGGGAGAAGTCGAGCTCCGTCAGGTTGAAGAGCTGCTGCAGCTCATCCGCCGTCCTGGCGATGTTGTTGCTCTGCAGGAGGAGCACCTGCGTGTCGCTGGAAAGGTTGCCGGGGATCCTGGTCAGGCGGAGGTCGTTGCAGTCCACGGTGCTGGCCTCTCGGTACGTGGACTGCGGGGTGAACCAGGGCCGGATCTCGCACACACACAGTTGTGGACACTCGCTGCCGTGCAGGGCAGACCCCGCGGACGACGTCAGCAGCAGGCTGAGCACCAGCCGAGAGGCTGCCAGAGCCAGGCTCATCCCGGCCATGCTGGCCGCCCAGCCCGCCCGCCCTGGCGCCGCTCAGCACCAGGCCAACACTCCGGGGTGAACCGCAGGCCCGCAGGCGGGGGCTCTGAACATGGGAGCGGAGGCTCGCTGGCGAGCTGGGGAGCTCCGGGGTCCGAAGGGGTGGTTTCCTGGGGTTCTCGGAAGGCAGGAAGCACGTCGGAGGTTCAGCTGTGTTTCTCGATCCCAGACATGCCCACCGCTCGGTGGCCCGATCCAAGTCTGCAGATGTGCCTGGAAATTAGATCAGGACAGATGTTACCTTTATTCCTGATGCTTCCTACATCCCAGCCTGGCATGGTCTACGGAAAGGCATACCCCCCGCAAATCTAACGGCAGAATGTCCAAAATAACTCAACAAGCTGTGGAATTGCATGACTCTCTGACTCTAGTCCACTTACTACACTAAAGTACTTACCACTTTCACAGTTAAATTGGGACTGCTTATATTATTGGGTAAAATCATCATCATCATACACACACACACATGCACACACACTCACACATACTTCATAGGAACACTCAGAAAAACCCACGGAACAAAGTGACTTTACAAACTACATATGTTGACGGCACCGAAAGGAAGAAAAAAAATCAAAAAGGTCAAAAGCAAAACATAAAAGGCAGCACATTAAATCTCAGTCTGTTTTTAGTTACTTATATTTTAATCAGTCCGTCATGTTTTCTGTAGTTCTTTCTTTCCCAAATGGTACATTCTGTAGACGTTCTCAGCCAACACCTTTCTCGCTCAATTCTTCTTGTGCAGAAAATGAGCTTAATCCAACTAGAAAAGGAAACATCGTTTTCTTCTCATAGTCTAATAGCCCCATCTGACGGTGATGGAACAGTAAGAGGGTGTGTCCCGCCACACCACTGGTCGTCATTAAACACAAACATCCAGGCATGGAAACATCACAGGATACTTTCATCAGTCTCATCGGATGTCACCGGCCACTTAGTAACTATAGACCATGGATAAATGGAAAACATTATTAAACCTGTTGAAGCTCAGCAACTTCAACTATAAAATAGGGGCCCAGCCAGTGTGGCTCAGTGGTTGAGCATGGACCCAGGCACCAAGAGGTCACTGGTTCAGTTCCCGGTCAGGGCACACGTCCAGGTTGTTGGCCAAATCCCCAGTGAGGGGCATGCAGGAGGCAGTCAATCAATGTTCTCTCTCATCGATGTTTCTATCTCGCTCTCCCTCTCCCTTCCTCTCTCTCTCAAATCAATAAAGAAAAAACATTTTACAAAATTAAAAAAAACATCTTCTATAAAATAGGGTAGGTCATAAAGGTGCCTCTCTCATAGAATTATTGAGAACATTAGAGGGGTCTGCGAGAAGCTTAGGGTAGCGCCTAACAGATAGTAACTGCTCATACACGTTCATTATAGGCATCTTTTACTGGAGCCACCTAGCGGTTGTGGGAAGACAAGCGAAAGAAGGCAAGCGGGAGGCGTTTGGTCTGATTTGGCAGCATCGGTGGGTTTAACGAGGTTTCCGAGGTCAAAGGCGTACTGCTCGCCTGCTGGTGAAGGTAACACTCGTGGTTAATGGTCCTCGTTTCTAGACTCCCATCGGGGAAAAGCCATTATGCATCCAGTGTGCGGACTGCTTTCCAAAGACCAGCCGGGCCCTCGCCCAAGTATTAAAGTAGGGCTCTGTGTTTCCGGACGTCGGTCTCTTCTTCCTTACTGAACGTCAGCTCTGGGTGGTGAAGGAACTTCAGCGGCTACCGCTTCCCTTCCCTCGTGAGACGACTGTAAGGATTCGCGCGTGGCGTGTATAACGTGCTCGACGCCAGCCTTCCACGGGAAGCTCTCCATCCAGCAGCAGCTGTGCAAACACGGTCACCCGGTGACTCACCAGGAGGCACAAGGACACAAAGAGCCATGTTGGAAGAAAGAAGAAAAGTCACACACACACACACACACACACACACACACACACACACAGTTGTTTTACAAAATATGCAAACCAAATTACTGGTCTAACATGATGGAATCAAGAGCAAATGCTGATGCAGACCTGGCCGGCGGGAGGCCGGAGAAGGGATGAATGTGTTGCAGGCGTCCCTGCTCTCTGTGGGGAGGAGACACGCCAGCATCCCCCTCCCTCACCTGGTTACTAGGCCACATACCACACATATGCACAATGTCTATACTACACAAGTACCTGATCCCGACTTTTGTCGGGATATTCTATAAAATGAACACATGCCTCAGAGAATAAGGTCCCACAAATGTATTCCACTCTTTTTGTTTCCAGTTGACGTCATCCCCAAACAGGTGCAGTGCCCACGCGCGATGTTCAGACAGTGCCTGCCCCGTGTTATTCCTTCGTCTTCATTCCGGACAGAAAACCAAAACACTAAGCTACTCTTCATAACTCTGGCCTGGAATGTCAACTAATGCTCATGCTTTGATTTTTTTTTTTTTAATTTAAGGAAATATATAGCAACGAGTAAAATGAATATTAAAAACTCCCCAAATAACCTGTTGCCATTGAAAAGGGGCTACACTTTGAATACTGTTACGAGTAATGCCTCTGTTCTAGTTTAAATGATATGATTCGAGGTCATTGTACTGCAAGACTCAAGTCTGTCTTCGACACACGTGCATACCTCTTAAACACGCAAGCGGTGAAGACTCAAGTCTGTCTTCGACACACGTGCATACCTCTTAAACACGCAAGCGGTGAAGACTCAAGTCTGTCTTCGACACACGTGCATACCTCTTAAACACGCAAGCGGTGAGCGAACCACACGCGCTCAGAGTGTCAGAGGCCGTATCCAGCACACAGAAGACGCTTTCCTCTCCCAAACCTGCATTTGGCTCCTTTGGGAGCAGAGAATGAAACGTCCTTAACACAAGAGGTGGTGCTTAAGATGTTCCTTTGTGTATACCACTCCGACTTCTCTTCAGCAGTTTTTCCTCAACCTAAATTTTGAATGTGACATTATACATAGAGCAAAGCTCCATAGACTCCTCAAACCATTTTATACATTTAAAACATAAGACATGTCTCAGGAACTACTTGTTTAAAAGTAAATAGATTATCCCAACAAGAGGAGAAGACTACAGACCAATATCCTTGATGCACTGAACAGAATTTAATGCCCTTTCATGATAAAAACACTCAACAAACTAGGAATAAAAGGAAAAGGCCTCAACATACTGAAAAGCCCACAGCTAAACTAATGTATTAGTGCAAGAGTGTGAGCTATCCCTTTAAGGTCAGGCACAATGGAAGGATGACTACTCCAGCCACTTCTATTCAACTTAGTACTGGAAGTCCTCGCCAGAGCAATTAGATAAGAAAAAGAAATAAATGACACCCAAATTGGAAAGGAAGAAGTTAAATTGTCTGTTTACATGATATGATCTCCTATGATCCCTAAAGATGCCCCTCAAAAAACCCCCTCAAACTGTTCAAACAAATAAATGATTTCAGCGAAGTTGCAGGATACAAAATAAACACCTAAAAATCCTTGCAAGAGCATCAAGAAGAATGAACTATTTAGAAGTAAACTGGACCAAAGAGGCAGAAAGTGTGCACCCTGCAAACGACAGAACGTGGCTAGAAGAAATGAAATATGCAAATAGGTGGAGAGACATCCCATGTTCATGGATCGAAAGGCTCGCTGTGAAAATGTCCACAGTATCCAAAGCGATCTACAGAGTCACTTCAATCCCTATCAAAATCTCAACAGCAATTTTTGTAGAGAGAGAAAAAAAAAGACCTTAAAATGCATATGGAATGTCAAGGGAGCCCAAATAGCCAAAGCAATCTTGAAAAAGAACAGTATTCAAGACCTCGCACTTCAAAACATAAACAAAGCAACAGTAATCAAAACAGTGTAATATGTGCATGAAGACAGACATACAGACCAGTGGAAGAGAGAACCCAGAGTAAGAGCAAATGGCTTTGACAAGAGTGCCAAGCCGGCACAATGAGAAATGAATAATCTCTTCAGCAGATGGTGTTGGCTTTCACACGCAAAAGACTGAGGTTAGCCCTGGCCGGTTTGGCTCAGCAGTTAGAGCGTCCGCCTGCGGTCTGGAGAGACCCGGGTTCGGTTCCCGCTAAGGGCACGTACCTCGGTTGCAGTTTGTCCCCGGCCCTGGTTGGTCGTGCGGGTGGCGGCCACTCGATGTGTCCCTTTCACATCAATGTTTCCCTCTCTCTCTCTTCCTCTCTCTCCCTCCCACTCTGTCTGTACAAAAAATGAAAAAATGTCCTCGGATGAGGATTAAAAAAAAAAAACAGACTGAGGTTAGACCCTTACCATACACCGTCTATAAAGATTTACTCAAAATGGAATAAAGACTGAAATGTAAGACCTAAAAGAAGAGGACTCCCAGAAGCAAATGCAGGGGAAAGCTTCCGAACATTGGGTTTGGTTGTGATTTCTTGGATACGTACACAGACGGGGCTAAATCAAACTTGAGAAGGTCCCCAGATCAGAGGAAACAGGCAGCAGAGTACAAAGACGGTCGGCAGATCGGAGAAAGTCTCTGCAGACCATGGATGTGTTAGCAGGCCGATGTTCGGCACACGCAAGGAAGCCCACGCCTCTGAAACAACAGCTACAACACCTCTGAAACATCAGCTACAATACCTCTGAAACAACAGCTACAACACCTCTGAAACAACAGCTACAACACCTCTGAAACATCAGCTACAACACCTCTGAAACAACAGCTACAACACCTCTGAAACAACAGCTACAACACCTCTGAAACATCAGCTACAACACCTCTGAAACAACAGCTACAACACCTCTGAAACATCAGCTACAACACCTCTGAAACATCAGCTACAACACCTCTGAAACAACAGCTACAACACCTCTGAAACATCAGCTACAACACCTCTGAAACAACAGCTACAACACCTCTGAAACATCAGCTACAACACCTCTGAAACATCAGCTACAACACCTCTGAAACAACAGCTACAACACCTCTGAAACATCAGC